GGTACGCAAATGAGGCTCGGCGATATGCCACGCTTAGCCTCATTTGCCTATTTCTCACGCAAGAAGCCGTGAGTGTAGACATAGCCACTTAGTGCTAAGAGAACTGTGAGTTGAGGTTCTGAGGTCATTTCTTACTGGGGCAAAGTCCACCTTGTCAAATGACACTGACTGCCCTGTTAGCTGCGTCAGCACAGAAACAAAGGAGAAAAAGTAAACATAGAGGCTACGTCTACACTGGCCCCTTTTCCGGAAGGGGCATGTAAATTTCATGAGTCGTAGTAGGGAAATGCGCGGGGGATTTAAATATCCCCCGCGGCATTTAAATAAAAATGTCCGCGGCTTTTTTCCGGCTTTTAAAAAAGCCGGAAAAGAGCGTCTACACTGGCCCCGATCCTCCGGGGAATAAGAGCCTAGGAGTAGGAATAAGAGCCTCCGGAAAAGGGCGCTTTTTCCGGAGGATCGGGGCCAGTGTAGACGCTCTTTTCCGGCTTTTTTAAAAGCCGGAAAAAAGCGGCGGACATTTTTATTTAAATGCCGCGGGGGATATTTAAATCCCCCGCGCATTTCCCTACTACGACTCATGAAATTTACATGCCCCTTCCGGAAAAGGGGCCAGTGTAGACGAGCCCAGGCTGTATTGAGTGTCTGCATACCCTAGAGGTGAGTCTGCTAGGGAATGGCTGAGGTACATTGGCAAAAACAGTGTGAGGATCTTTGTATGGCTGGGGGGCATTTTGTTTTTTTTTTGTGTCTCCCATAATATTAAGTCAGTAACTTTTACCAACACTGTCAAATAATTCCAAATTTAAATGACGTAAACAAGGGAGGGCTAGTGGATTATATCTTTGTTTTGACCACAAACCCTTTCATGTTTAGGATCATTAGCCCCATCATGTACCTATATTCACAAACCTAGTAAAATGTTTCATTACAGACACAGCACTATTTACCTGGTCATGGGTTTAAACAGTAACTCGTCATTTCAAAATGGATCAGTGGCCATAAAACATTATTACCAAGCAATTCAAGTGGTTCTTCTGAAGATGAAAAGGAACAATTCTGTCTACTATAAACATAAAATATTCTTTAAATAAATAACATCATAATTATTTAAAAATTAAACTTGTGTTCATTGATTAACCAGGAAGCTAAATATACTGCCGAGTCTAAAATATGTCTCTCAAATAAAAAAAAAATCTTATTAAAAAATAAATGAATCTTTTCCTTAACCCTCAAGAACTTTTAATTCATGACAAGGCCTCTCAAGATTTCTCATTATGTTAGGTTAAGAAGTATGTCACTAAAAATCAGGGCAACAGGCCCTTAAAGTGAAACGATATTAATACCAACTGGGAACCTACTACTCATTGATCCATCTTTAATTACACTTGGAAGGTTCAGACAGCTCTTCTGCCAGCTGGATTCTTATCTGACCTGATTAAGAGTCCTGTCAACTGCATCTGATCTGCAAATATTGCTGCCAACAAATTTGGAAAGCCCACAAGCATCCTTCTTAATGTCAGCAAGCATCTATTTTTAAGTCTCAAAAACCCAGATCCAGGAGAGATTATTAGCATGATTACTTAACTGTATGTACTAAGAGGAGGGCAGGCATATGCTACCTATTGAGTATGAGGTAAATCTTGTGAATTGACACATTCACCTTTTGATTATCAAAGAGCATAGATTTTGGAACCCCATTCAGCAACCACTCCTGCCTAACATTGCTCAGTCTATAACATTATGGAAGCAACACAACTAGTCAGGACTAGACTAAAGGATCTTAAATGCCATGTTTGCCATAGAATGAGGTACAGTAACACTACTGTGTCTCAGTGCTGCAGGTCCTGGGATAGCATATTGTGGTATAGCAGAAGTTATACAGTCATGTCTCCATGCCAGAGGTTCTTGGACGTTGTGTTGTAAAATAACAGAAGCATGTTCCTGAATGATGCACAGATGTTGTTGGCTACGTCTAGACTGGCATGATTTTTCGCAAATGCTTTTAACAGAAAAGTTTTTCCGTTAAAAGTATTTGCGGAAAAGAGCGTCTAGATTGGCACGGACGCTTTTGCGCAAAAGCACTTTTTGCGGAAAAGCGTCCGTGCCAATCTAGACGTGGTTTTGCACAAGAAAGCCCCGATCACCATTTTTGCCATCGGGGCTTTTTTGCGCAAAGCACTTTTTAGCTGTCTACACTGGCCCTCCTGCGCAAATACAGCTGCTTTTGCGGAAAAACTTGCCAGTCTAGACGCAGCCGTTGTGTTTAACTAATCATGTTTAAAACCACTGACAGCCCTCAAATATCAAAACCAACTGGCATTTACTGGAGAGTGCTGAAAATTTGTTAAAGCACTTTCAGGTGAACTGAATCTTATTTCCACTACATAGAAAGCTGGAGACATTAAATATTATCTGTCATGTCTCACTGCCTTTCAGTTATTTTTCTTATTATACAGCTTTGTATTGTGATTAAAAACAAAACAAAACAGAAAACCTTCATGTTTGTTTCCTGTTACACTTTTAGAACTATTCATTCTTTTGTGCTGGAAAACAGATTTCCTCAGCACATCCATTGCCAAAAGTGGACTAGATGAAATCTTGAAGGTAGCATGGAGTTAAAAGTCCTGTTAAAGTAGAAACAAGTTAAAAGAAACTGCTGGGGTTTTTTTTTGTTTTGTTTTTTTAGAAGAGGCAAAAAAGACTGGGGGTGGAAAGAGTAAAAGAGGAGAAATATAAGAGACAACCAGAAAGAGGGGGGAACACACAAGAGATCTAAAGGGATGAAAAGGCACTTGATGAAAAATAATATGTCTGCAATTCTAATGTGCAGATTTCTGAATCTTGCAACCGTGTCTCACTCCCTGCTGGTTTGCAAAACACTTCAGGGAGTCCAACGCACAGCAGAATCTGTATTATATTACTTTTTGTGATGAGTATAATGGATTAAATAGCAAACACAAACTGTCCTTAACTGTAACTGTCTCCAGTTTCATCAACAACAGACTTAGGATGGTTAGTAATTTGTACAAGAAAATAAGGTAGTGTCACAAAAGGTAATAGCTGTTTAAAATGCATTTCTTTAGAGCAGTACACATCTGTATTGTATTTGTATAGCCCCTAGTATCATGGGGCCTCAGTTCTGACTGGGTTCTTTGGATGCTGCACATATAACTATGTGTTAACTCTTGTTACTGACGTTATAGATTAAAACTATTTTAAATAAAACGTTTTTATCAAATGACATCTTTCTAAACTGTACTTTAGACATTGGTTTCATTTCAGTCTCAAGCTCTGTGGATCTTTCTGGCCGTCCCTGCAGCCAGGGGCAAGCAACATGGTCTGTGGCCCTTGGGGAGGCCTGTACCCCCACCCAGAACGACTGGTGGGTGGCTAGTGCCCCGCAGGCCTGCCTCCCCTCCATCTCTGACAGCAGCAGAGGGGGAAAGTGCTGAGTCACGGTGACTGCAGGCTTTCACAAGGCCGCTTCCTTGCGTGCTTTCTCCACCTACTTGGGATCAGGTGCCACTCCCCTCCCCTCCATCTCTGACAGCAGCAGAGGGGGAAAGTGCTGAGTCACGGTGACTGCAGGCTTTCACAAGGCCGCTTCCTTGCGTGCTTTCTCCACCTACTTGGGATCAGGTGCCACTCCCTGCCAGTGCCAAGCCCTACGGACCCCCTTCGTCACATAC